AGCGCTATAGCCCGCCATAACACCTCCGCCGTGGTTTAACGAAACGTCCATCACCCTCGAGGAAAAAAAAAAACTACCGAGCGTTGCCGACGGTGCGATTCCTCTCTTATTCCCTATCGCCTAGAATTTCTTCCGGATGAGGATCCCAGCTCGTTTGGGTCGGTGTTATTATTTTCTAATGTTGAACAAACAGACATCGGACGTACGAGGGAGCCGTATTACTCTTTTCCCCCATTCGAATAGCCATTACTTCCCAAACGTTACGCTATAAAGGGATACTCGAGAGCTGAACTAAAGCCTTTTCTCCGGCTCATGTAAAGTGCCAGTTAAGTATCTTACCCGTTTTCACGGCGGGAAAATTTCCCCATTCTCCTTTTTCCCCATTTTTCTCCTTTCTTTCACGTAGCAGGGAACGGGACATTTTAAACGTGATATTTAAACTGCGCGAAAACGAATTCCTACGAATGTTTTTGCAGGTAGGTTAACTGTCCCGACGACTCGTATTGTTTAATCGATTATCCGCCGGCTGGTGTGAACTTTTGCATCCGCAAATGTTGGTACAGACGACGCGCGCGATTTAATATCTTCTCGTGCGATCTTTTTCGTCCCCGGCTGTACGCGATATCCAGTTTCGAGGATGTTCCGTGTCATTTAAGGGATCGTCAAGCGAAATCGTGATATTACCCCGATGAGATCGTTCGTATAGGGCTGCGTAAAAAAGTCCGTAGAGGGGCTGAGAGTGATATTGTATACGAGGAATTCACGAGATGTGTAAGTGTGAGTTCGCGGAAGTGAGATAACTCAATGCTTTTATTTCACCCTGATAATAATATCGGCGATTTTGACGCTTAACATCATAGGTCTCTCAGTCTACATTACGAAAAAATGGTAAAAATCGTGGTTTTTTGCATGATTCGGTCTTTTGTGAATTATTTATTTTTATCAAGTTTATTATCAATTTTTTAAATAGTCTTTGACTAAACTAATTACCACTAAGAGGGCAATTATTTCATTGCATCAGTCTGATGATAGCAGTGATCACATGGACTCAACTTTTTCTTCTTAATTTACAATTTATTTAATTTGTATTATTATCTAAATTATTCCTGTAACTTTTTACAGTTTTAGGATTGCATAATAAAACTCAACAATTTCTTTAAAACTATTATTTTAACACAAAAGTTTCTTTAACACTTTTATTTTGACGTAAAAATTTCTTTAAAACGAATTTGGAATAAAAACAAATCGATCACATTCAGAAGTTTCGTTACTAAGCTTAAGAAAAAGGAAAAATCAAAATCCTGATAAATCTTCTAAAAATGAGTGCTTTAAGAACCCCAAAATTCCCTATTGTTGACCAATTGTTGACAGCAAATAGAACATCAAGTAACATCACAGGCCTCCAAGACTTTTACGAATTTACGTTTAATCAATCTAGGTTTCAGAGACCTGACACGTTGAAATAAAATAGCGAGAACTTACCTACAGGAGCTACAGGTTCATATCTCACAAAAGTTGAAGGTCGACGAAGTAATAAAGGAACAGGAATGGGGTGCAGCGTCTTGCGCAAAACGTAAAAGAGGGGATAAGCGCAAGAAAACACGTGTAGGTCTCGTGGATTTACTATGTTGGTACTTACTTACTTGGTTCTTTTTAGCTGAACTGGCTACAGTAGTTGACGAAATTTACGAACACCGAAGCGTAAGAATCTCGTACGTGCGCGTTTCAATGCGTATGTAAATTACCTGAACTAGTGCCAGTAGCCAGTTCAGCTAAAAAGAACAGACCAACTGTCGAGGTTAAGGCGTACCGTATCGGTTATAGATTCATTTCCCCGCGTTCCGAGCTTTTCTCATGCCCGGGGCATCGCGCATTACGCCGGCAGCGGTCCCAATACAAGCGCGATGGAACTGCCAGCGTGGAAGAGTCATCGCTGAATAATAAAATTCCGGCGGTCTCGTGCGACATATAAAGCAACGTGCGCGCGTGTGTAGGGTCGCCCGCGGTGCTCGAAATTCGGCCGTAAATGATGGATCCTGATGAGCCCCTGGATACCAGCTCGCGGAATATCCCATTCCACGGGCATCCTAAAACGCCCGTTAAAAGGTGGCCGGGTGGATGCAGCAGGGCGGCGCTTCCAAATCCCCCAAACTTCCGGCGTTGGCTCAGCAGATGTCTACGAGTTACCCGGCGACGTGTAACTGCGTATGTGACGTAGCCTGCTCGCCCGTAGTGCCCGGTAATACCCGCGGTTGCCCATAAAGGGAGTTCACAAACGACTAGCATGCTTTTCCTCCCACCGCATTTTCCCTACCGTCGCAACGACCGCGCGCGGCGGAATGCGCGAGTTCGCACCGGCGAACGAGTATAGACTGCGACGTGTAGCGTTTACTACGTGCCGATCCGTCTGCTTCCGGTTTCCGTGGCTCAAGTGTTCCTCTCGCTTGCGCCGAAATTGCACGCGATATTCCTGCGAGTCGTCGCGCACGTGTGCTCGACTCACACTTCGGCATTTCGCCGGAAGTGTCGTCGCGATTATACTCTCGATCAGGAGACAAAGCGTATTCGGCACGTCCGAGAATAATTTTCATTCGTTCGATGCGGTGCGGATTATTCATCGATCTATCGAATTACTCATTCTTATTAATCCGTCCGGAGCCTGATTAATTTTCGAACGGAAAGGAGTCGTTTCTGTAATTGCGCATGAAGTATGTGGCTTAATTTCGAGTGAGATATAAGCACACTCGAAGTCGTGATATATCGGCGCGAGAATGTGCGGCCTGATTTGAAAATATAAACAGACGTGTTGCACGACAACTTGATAATAAGAATGATACCGGTTTTAGAAAAGTGAAGTTTAAAGTCAGCCTGAAATGGAAACGATTCTTGGATACGACGCACGCTTACGAGAAGGGAAATGGCGCGTTCGCATTTGCAATGGTTTACATTTTACAATAATCTTGAACTTTGATGACCGCCAGTGGCACGAAACGGAATAGAAAGCTAGATTGTACTGCCGGTACGTGCCAATCCGCTCCCTCGAGGTTTCGCGAAACGCGATTTTCAGCTGCGAGTTCTTGGCTGAGTTTACCAAGGGTGTATGGGCAAATATGCGACTATTCTGTTTTTCCGTACATGAGGATTACGCCAAGTGGTTTACCGACGGGCGAATGTTTACTCAATACTTGCGGCGTACCGCTCGAATACTAAAGGTCGATGCAAGATTAGTATTTGTTCTTCAACCTGATTGAAGCCGGGCGCGGTAAACAAGAGGGAGAATATACGAAGCTTACCGAGTTATAATATCGGAAAATAAATCGATATATTCACTCGACTGGGCGTTTTTATTTCAAAATGTTTAGCGTCTGACCTCGATGTATTTATGTACGTGTATTTATGTACGATCTATTTATGTACGTGTACTTAACATTAACACATAATGTACACGTAAAAAAGGATAATCTCCTCCTATCTGCGCGGAGGAAATATTCTGGTAAAAATTATATCTGATAAAAATTGTGTAACGTCGGACCATATTGAAATTACGACTGAAATTATGATGTGTGTTGTAATCTTTGGCGATGTGTACAATGAGATACGTCGAGATTACAGCACACATCATAATTTCAGTTATAATTCCGCTATGGTTCAACATTATAAAATTTGCGTGGTAATTTTTACAGTGTATATTTTCTCCGTGTATACTGTGTTCTCCGTATTCTATTCTTCTCATAATATTAACTTATATCGTTGATAGTTACCATTTATTATTACACTGATTTATTGAAGAATCCTTTTAGTTGTTTCACCAACTGAAACTAAACTGACCGAAGTTGAACTGTAACGAACCGAAAAAAGGAAGGGATTGCGTGGGGCTACCCCTACGTCTTTCCGAAAAGTCGGCCTAAACAGTTCGCAGCACATCAGGTTCCCGTATAACAACGGATTGTGGAAACTCATACGCGTCACCGCTCCGTAAGCCAGCAATCTACGAGGGTAGATCCCCCATACATTTTCCAAGGATCTTTACGGCTCTCAGCGTTCTGCGCCGTGTGTACTTTAATTAGCTCGGTTCCTCCTGTCCCGTATGGTTAACGATATACCTTTCAACCTTCTAGCGAGCGATTTTAGCGAGCAATCGCGAAATTGTCTCACGTGCTCACGGGCTTGGGCTTTATTTGCTTCGAACTTTGAACCTTCCGCAGAGTTACTGCGGAATCGGAGTTCCGCGATGAAGTGACGGCACTGCGTTATCTGGAATCTTAATGGAAGTGACGACACGGTGACTGCCTCGTCGTGATGGAACTTTATCGCTTGAAATGTGACACGGTTGAATGTTTGATTTAGCAGTGATATCGACGAGTCATCGGCCAGAATGAACGTAACTGGATCCTAGTACGAAATAAGCGTCAGGTGATTCGATGAAAATGCAATTTATGTCGCTACTATATTTCGCAACGTTAGCTTATTTGCAAACAGATGAGGGGGCTAGTTATTAAGGTCGATCACCGCTAACACACTAAGAAAAAGCACTTCAAAATTCATCTGTGACGGACATAAAATTTATCTCATAGAAATCAATCTTATATTACACAGCCTTACAAACCTTATTTCCACGGAATAAATCTTATATCCTAGAAATACATTTTTAATTACCTTTTCCTCAGTGTGATATAGTCCATACTTATTTTAGTTGATAACTGAAATTATCTAAAGAATTAGAAAACTGTCGAAAATTACACTTCAACTTGTAATCTCACATTTAAATTAGATCTCTGAATTGTTTATACAGCATAATTATATAAGGTCCCATCTATGTGACAGCAAACTAAAGTTATTTATTCTCCCCTCCCCACTAAAGTTATTTATTCCGCCCTCCTCGCTACTCTATATTTATAGGCAGCTGTATCAGAACTTGTAAATAGATGTCATGACACGTGACTCGTCGTCGGTTCCATCTAACATCCAATCCCGAGGTCGTCTAATGACAGCGAGCGTTATCTGCCGGAAAACGAAAAACAGATAAACTTTATCTCACACGAAGTGAGATTTCGTCGGTAGTATCGTTACGACTACGTCGCGGAGAGCACGACGACGTGCGCGAAAGAGAGCGAGAGAGAGGCGAACGATTCAGCGTGCACGCCTCTCGCGCATCGCGAGGAAGCACTCTCGTTATCAGTATCAGTCGCCGCCGTCGCGCGCACAACTCTCACTCGCGACGAACAGTCCTCGCTTTCATCGGCGTAGTCCCTTTTTCTTTCTCTCCTCGTCTCTCTTTCTCCCTCGCTAACGCGAGCGCGTGTGTGCTTCCGCCGACACACCGCTCCACCCGGGTGTGACTTTGTGGCGCGCCGTACGCTCTGCGTCACAACACGCGTGTATACCTGCGCTCTGTCACGCGCAACACCAGCAGGACGCGATGCCGACGCCGGAGTACGAGTACGGTGAGACGCGGCTGCGATCGCGCAGAACAAAGAGCGTCACGAGAGCGGAGGATATACGAAAGGCGGAACAGATGGTCCGCAGGTCGCAGCCCGACAAACCGTGAGTACGCACTGTGTTCCCCACGTCCGCCCACACGCGCTCTCTCTTCTTCCCACTAACGTGAATACGGACGCGATACTTGCTCGGCGACGCACGGCTGACACACGTCGCTGACGGCGAAGAATATGACGAGGATGATGATCGTGCACCTGTGACGGCCGCAATTGTCGGCGAAGCAGCGCGACAACGTGAAATTTTTCGCCACCTCGAGAGACGCACGACATAACAGCCGTGCTCCGCTTTACGTGCGCATGCGTGTCCCGCGCTATGTTTAGTAAGGCGCCGCGAGAGGGGAGATTCCTCAACCTCGGCAAGCGTTCTCCGTCTCGTTTCAGCCGTCGCGTTTTTGCCTGCCTCGCTCCGACATGTGTTGTAATCGATGCGTGGGTCAGACGACCGGCGTCGTCTTGTTTGCGGTCGAGCTACAGCTCGTTTCAGCTCGTGCAGCTGTTTTTTTTTCACAAGCTGATCGAGAATTAAAGAAGCGACGGCGGTTACGTATCATAGACGTACTGGTATAAAATAACGCTAATGAGAAACTATGGTTTTTCGGGCGATTGACGTCGCGCGCGACGTGAATTACATCGACGAGGTCGAGCGTGTATGTATTGACTTATAAATTGTGAAGACACGTGTTTCATATATCGTCGCAATTTCTAAATCGGCACACACACTCGTCGTGAGAAAGTTGCGGCACACTTTCCACTTTTTCGAAATCGGCCTTGTGATTTTCGGCGGTGCCGCCGAAACAAATGCCAAACTGTCAACGTCATCGCTCGTGTCGGACGTGATTTATATTCGTTATCGCATTTGTGATGGTAATGATTACCCCAACCTGAATTATATACATGTTAGGTAACGCAACGGAGAATTACAAAAATGTTGACAAACATTGTACTCGACGTACAAGCTGTTACATCATTAGCGTCATCACGTCCACCACTACAGTAATGAATACGTTGCTTATGACACGGAAATAAGCATTTAAATACCTCAAAATGATATGCGCATGAAAGTAAATGCATTGAGAATTTTAATTACTTGTTTCATGAAATATGTAAGACCGTTTACGTGAAGTTGCATATAGATAATTGCGATACGACGGATAAGAGTCTTTTATCATTATATAAGATGAGCTAAATTTTCACGGCGACGTAAATCGTACTTCGCATATAAGATTCATAACGGACGCCAGCGATATTGAGATGGTATTGTATGTTAAAATAACATTTGAGATATCTGAGAAAACGGTACCATTTAAACATATTGAACAGTTTCTACGCACACTCCGTGTTATTACATAAAACACAGTATTTAAACGAAACGCCTAAAGGGGAATAATATCGTGTTTTTTTTTTTTTTTCATGCAGTGCACATTCATGATAATATTCTTAACCTTTGATTTATGCGAAGACACGTACAATATATCTGGACTCATCCTTATATAATATAATAGTCAACAGCGTCGTTAGATTACAAGCTTCTTAAGTGATGTTTGTTTGACGTTCAATTGACCTTCGGGAAGTAGCGCTGCGTTCAAATCGTTTCAACGGCGCGATCGATCCGCAGAATGTGCGAGATTGGTTCGTCATTATATCGGGAAACACGAGGGATCATTCACAGAGAGCAAACAATTGCTCCTCGGAACTTTTGGACATATTTAGATTGGCCAAATCTCGTTCGTCAAACGGAGTTGAGTTTCCGCTCGGCTGTGCATAATTAATGCACACATGTCGCTATTTCAGAGCGACGACTTCATGGAGAAACGACTTCCAGTCTATTCCGTCGAAATGTCTATCAACGAAGTCGAGTTAGAGCTTGACTACATTATGCCCAACTTCGAATACTGAATCAATCTTTAACGACATCGATCGAACACGAAGAGCGCTTCGGGGAATCGTCTTGGGAGAGAAGGAAAACTGTGTCTCATGAGACACCTAAATTCTGACTTCATTATCGTGAAATTTGTGAAGAAAAGTTAGGAGTATGAGGCACACAAGAGAGAGATAGAGTATAATATAGAATACTTCGCAGCTTCGGCCAGGAATTGCTTGCATCTGTGACTTCTGCGGAACTTTCTCGTCAAGCTACGATCCAACTTCATAGTTGAAGCTTTAGTTACTTGGAAGTTTCATTATCCCATTGTTCCATGCGTGGTGATTTGGTTGTTTGCCTGTGTTCACGTGGTACTCTATACTGTAAATTACTTCATATTATCCAGCTTCCACTCTTGTCAATCGACGAGTAAAAATAATCGTCAATCTTTTACGAGTTTTACATCGTAATATCTAAATTCCTCCATTTAAAACACGTGGCTGAAATTCTAGTGGGATCATTTTCTCGGAACATTAATTAATAAGAGAATCTTTCTCATAACACGTTCTGCGGTTACCGAGACGGAGATTCGTCGTGAAATGTGCCAACGTTTATGAACTCCATGGTTCAATACGAAGTGCGAAGTCGAAGGATATCTAGTTCATTCGGGGAAGGGCATGATTTTATTTGCTCTGTAGCAATTATTATCTTTCGAATAATTCAGAAAAAGACACTATACTGTATTCTTTCGTAATAGTTCGTATTTTTTATTATTCTTTTATCAACCAATCATCACATATTTATTATAAGTAACAATGAGGAACGTGTTATTTTACTGCGGCAGCAATATAATGCAGCACGCAGGTAAGTATTGTTCGTATGAAAACAAATACTTTTTTATGCGTGTTGTCAGTATTAAAAAATTTAGTTTGATCAAATTGGAATCGCGGTTTGAATAAACTTGGATGGATTTGTGAAGAACAAGTAAACAAAGCTGTCGTTTTGTAAAATGCTTCATTTAAATAAAGCGACGTAAAATATCCGTAAAATGACCACAATAATGTTACCTAGGCATTGTAAAAAATACGCCGTTCAATAGCGTGAAAATGAAACATTTATATTCCAAATATATTTCAAAAGTAGCACCATGTTTCTGTGTGATGTCGAAATTTCAGCGTTTTAAAATTAATTAATTATTTCCCACATAATGATGTCGAGTATTCGTTTCAATGGAAAAATATCAATCTCGGATGTTTCCTATTTTTTCTCTTAAGAGAAGAAATATCAAATTTGCTTTTTATAGGAAACTTTTACAGCGATATAACTTTGTATACGCGTTATCGGGGCAAAGTATGAATCACTTATCACAGCCTGCAGGTTTTATCGTCGGTTCAATAATATCGACTTGCCTGGAATTTGAACTCACTTCCGTCGTTCGGTATCGTCAGGTCGCGGGTCAAGGTTAAGGACAACGAACTTTCGATCACGCGAATGCGCGAACAGTTAAACGCCTCCGTGCGCCTCGGCGCGCCTAATTAGCTCTCGACCGTGGCGAGGTTTTGCTTCGACGCGCCTCAGCAAACCCTTCCGCGGGGTAGTCGTCACCCTCCACCGACTTCCGGAACCGCTGACGGTTCCATGGAGTCGCTCGGCGAAGTATGCAGACCACTTTCCTGTGCCGTTAATTAAAATGTTAATTCGGGTGACACAGCAAAATCGCCCCATCGCGACGCTGTCGTTAAGCTCCCCCTCAACGATCTATCCAGCTACACTTCAACAGTTTCTTCTTGTAGAAAAACGTGTCGCTTTATTTACATTATAATTTAAGTGTAATTGAATATATTGAACTAGCGGATGTTACTTCCCGTACTTCCGTTTTTGATAATATGTATCTTTTTCATTCGGGCAAATGAACTTTTACTGTTTGCCTACACGATTGCATAGATCAAGGGAATGCGGCTGCTCCATTATCAAGTGCGTTTGCCAATCAGCGAGCATTTCACTAGCAATGGAACCTAACAAATTGATGGGCCGTTTATGATTTAACTGGAAGTAGAAGCTACATACGCGCTTTGGTAATCGGATTCGCTAATCGTAGTACGCCGGTCTCGCGTTGAGATGAGATCGTGTGTTCGCGCTTCAGCAGAAAATTGTCAGTTAATTGTACGTAAAGTGAAATAACGTACACCGTAATGACGGTAAATCTATTTTTTGTAATCCTTTTTGTTCGTTTATATTACAAAAAGTTGATCGAGAGTATATGAGATATGAAAAAGTTAATCCACGACTGAATTGCTAACTGTAAAAAATATTGGATCTGCTCGCAATATATATGTGGGATGATGAATATACATTTGTAATCTTTGGTGCGACATATCCGACATGCATTATATTGCGTGAGTTGTTATCGTACCTTTCCTTTTTTTAGTGGCTGTTATTGGGTAAAAATATTGTATTATTAAATGAAGCACAAGACGACTTGAACGACAGTTAAATAATTAAAGTAGTTGGTCTGTAAGGTGCCAGATTTTCAGCCCCTTGGATAATATATTAAATTTATTATTTACTGAGAAAAATACTTTTCTGAAACATTATTTAACTATTTAAATAATAAATGTTGATTTTAAGCGACATCAAGAGAAGTACACGCACACATAATATTACAAATACAGAGATATTATTCATTTTTTTAGTTTTCTTATTAATACTTTATATTTATGCGTCAGTTGAGCTAATAAATGTACACGTAATAGCAAATGGCAAATAAATATTAAATATGCGCATATATACATACATGTATCGCGGGCATTATTATAAATTGTAAATTTCCAACGTCTATATTTACAAAACAAAATAGTCAATAATTCAAAAATGTTTGTACGTCTTTGTATTAATCCTTAATATCACAACAATTTTACATTAAAATTCTAAATGAGTTTTAGAAGGAATTAAAAATAGAAATTGAAAATAGAATCTTAATTTCGAAGAATACATATAAAAAATGTAATCTTTAGTTGCGAATATCTCAACCTCCGAATGATCAATCGTTTTCTAATTTTATACATATTCTAATTTATTAAATACAGTTTGTGGATTCTGTGGACAAAGTTCCACGATTAAACTGGGATAGCGGACGTGTTAAAGACGTTTCGACGAATAGAATTTCTCACAGGAGCAAATGTGCG